CTTAGTAATAAGAATTACAATTCTGGCCGAAGAACCGCCTGGCTGTCGCAAAATTCTGCTACCGAGGGAGAGAAGATACTTTTGCGTACTTTGAGTACCAAGAACACGCGACGAAGTTGTGCCGTTGCTCGCGAGTACGGTTACAGTGTGTAGACTATAGACAATTAAACAAGTTAATTGCGCGCGAAAATTTTCTTTTACCTGTGATAGAGGATCAGTTGGAAGCTATGCGTGATAAAGTTTACTTTACTGTATTAGACTTAAAAGACGGATTTTATCATGTAAGCATGGCAGAAGATTCAGTACGATTTACTTCCTTTGTAACACTTGTAGGACAGTTCGAGTTCCTCAAGATGCCGTTCGGATTACGACCGGCGCCGCAAAAATTTCAACGACATACTATATTTAGAGAGTTAATTAACAGAGGTGATATTATTGTATACATTGATGATTTTATAATAGCTACTACAACTGTAGAAAAGCATTTGCAGGTATTACAATGTGTTTTTAAGTTATCAGTTGAAAATCATCTGACATTTCGAATTGATAAATGCAAATTTATGTTTACAAGTATCGAATATTTAGGATACTTAATAACTAGGGAAGGTATAAGTCCTACCAAAAGTGGAATACAAGCTGTGGCAAACTTTCCAATTCCTTGCCACATACGGAGTGTACAGGCATTTGTGGGCTTTTGCTCTTACTTTAGAAAGTTTATTCCGAAATTTTCCATAATTGCTAAACCGCTCTATGATTTATTAAAGAAAAATGCTATCTTTGATATGGGGGAGGAAGAAATAAATGCTTGCTGCATTTTAAAAGAAAAGTTAATTAGTGCTCCGGTATTAGCTATTTACAATGCCAATGATGTCACTGAGCTACACTGTGATGCGAGCTCAATTGGATTCGGAGCGGTATTAATACAAAAGAAAACAGATGGCAAGTTTCACCCAATTTTTTATTTTTCTAAACGTACTTCTAATACTGAGAGTAAGTATCATAGCTTTGAATTGGAGACATTGGCTATTATTTACGCGATTAAACGGTTTGGCAATTATCTAATCGGAATAAGATTTAAAATTATTACCGACTGTAATGCACTAAAACTAACATTAGATAAAAAGGATTTAAATCCCAGAATAGCTCGATGGGCACTTGAACTACAAAATTATGATTACATAGTGGAACATAGAAACGATAATAGAATGAAACATGTAGACGCTCTTAGTTGTGTAACCAATCTATTGGTAGTGGAAGATAACTCGTTTGAGCTAAATTTGTCATTGTGTCAAAGTAAGGATAGTAAAATTAGAGAGCTGAGCAAGAAATTAGAAGAATCTGAAGATAGTTACTTTGAATTAAGAAACGGATTAGTATACAGAAAGAATGACGATGATTTGTTATTTTATGTACCTGAAAGTATGGAAGCTAATGTTATATTTAGGTACCATGATGGTATGGGACACATGGGAAAAAACCGTGAATATCATAAGAGGAACTTATTGGTTTCCCAAGTTATCAAGCAAAGTAGAGTCATGTGAAGAACTGTCTCTGTTCGCACTCGCGATGATAGGATACTGAAAAGGTCAAGACAAAAATAAGACCACACGCTAACACATAACAAAACCTTTTATGGATAAGAATACAAACAAGAATCTCAAGGAATGTAACCTGTCGATGGAACATATGAATCATACGTGAATAATCGGGTGCTTAGAGCTTAGGGTGCCGCAGGCACGAGACTTACTGATCGGGGTGCCGCGGGCACGAGAGTTTCTGCGAAGGTGCCATAGGCCCGAGACTATCTGCATGGAGGCCGTAGGCTCGAGACTTCTGCACATGCGCCGTAGGCACGAGACGTTCTGCACGGTGCCGTAGGCACTAGACGTTCTGCACGGGTGTCGTAGACACGAGACGTTCTGCACGGTGCCGTAGACACGAGACGTTCTGCTGAGAGCTTGATATTCGACGCAATAATAAGCGAGGTTGTTCTGCAGCCCTTTGTTACTATCACTCAACGAACGAACATAAACAGTCAAGATGGAGGCAGGGGGCTAGCGGACTAGAGTCCCTAGCGCGGATGCACCACGCCATTTGTGTCGCC